CTGTTGTAATTTCTCTATGGACCTTTGAGTCTGAAATAAAGTATAATAATAATAGTACTCAGTAACGCAGTACTCAGTAACACAGTGCTCAGTAACACAGTGCTCAGTAACACAGTGCTCAGTAACACAGAGCTCAGTAACACAGTACTCATTAACACAGCTCTCAGTAATGCAGTACTCAGTAACACAGTATTCACTAACACAGTGCTCAGTAACACAGTACTCAGTAACACAGTACTCAGTAATGCAGTGCTCAGTAACGCAGTAGTCATTAACACAGTGCTCAGTAACGCAGTACTCAGTAACGTAGTGCTAAGTAAGACATTACTCAGTAACACAGTGCTCTGTAACACAGTACTCAGTAACACAGTGTTCAGTAACACAGCTCTCAGTAACACAGTGCTCAGTAACACAGTGCTCAGTAACACAGTACTCAGTAACACAGCTCTCAGTAACACAGTGCTCAGTAACACAGTGTTCCGTAACACACTGTTCAGTAACACGATGCTTACTAACACAGTGTTCACCACCGCTGTTCTCACAAACACGGTGGTCCGTGACAGTGTCTACTAAGACTGTGCTCACCTAAACTGTGCCTGTGTAATTACATGTTCTTGGCGGAGCACGAACAAACACACACCGAATTTCCGCCAAACTTAACCTCGCACCCAACATCCCGCAGAAATACCAAGTAGCCGTATTCAACTAGCAGCTGGGTGTGTAGTACAACCCGAAAATAATGCCATCGACCAGGAAATGAATACACAGTATACAAACCACACAGTAAGTGAACGGCAAGCGACGGTATTTGGCCTTTTAAAATACGTTCTGGTGTGTTAATTCTGAAAACAAATATAGTATTGTATGATGATTACTATATGGATTCTGGGTTTTAGTTTTGTAAACAGGCACTCTAATACATTTCTAGGGTCAGAATTTAGCCGCCGTGTAGTCCTCGCACTCCCTAGAATATAAACATAGATGATGAATGACAAAATCAATTCTAGTATATTATAACTTGTATCGGGTTTCTATTTTGATAAGTTGATCATCCACCCGCAATCAAAATGAACACGGTTGTATTCAAGTTATCTCGATTCAGTTAGATATTTTAAGCCAGTTTATTCAGTTTCGGGGGCAGGGTCACATGTCTTCTAGTGCCTGATATAAGACCTTGCTTCAGCCAATCAGATGCCTAGATTCGGACTAACCATGTAATAATACACAATATGCAAATGATATACCCAATCTACAAATTACTGCACTGTCTGAACGTGTAACCTTTCTGCAGGTTGTGATACAATGTACCCATATTCACAATTCAATCAATATGCAAATATTTATCGCTTTTGGAGACCCTGGATTTTTCAAATATATTATCATTTTAAATATTATTTTTACTGCAACTGTATAATAATAAATGT